TTTGATACTCGAGCAGAGGAACTGATGTGATGCGCATTTTTATGGAATATTATTGGGTTTCCGCAAATGGGATAATCCCAGACTCAAGATGGCAGGATTCCATGCATGGAATCTATCGGGAAAATACCGGGTGATTTTTCAATGTGCCCTATAAGTTACTTTTTCATCATTGAATGTAGTGTAACGATATTTCTGGGTTGTGAGTTATACAGGTTGTCCCGTGAAGACCACGTCGAACCTATAGGGGAAATATAACAAGAGTCTCGAGATCATACCCGTGTGTTCACCGAACACGCCCGATCGGTACCTAAGCGGTGGGGAGACCGAGACGTAAGCAGGCAGCCATGATACAATGAGTGGGCAGGCAGCTTCTCTCATGCTGTCTCTGTTTTTGTAGTACGGGGTGGGCCACCAACAGTTTTCTTGATCACATTTCAACATTTTTTTTTCGAATAAATAAGAAACATTTGATAGGCATCAAGTGATCTACTGCGACCTATCAGATAATGAAAGCGATGATTTGACTTGCAATAATTCGCTAGGTCACGACGAGTCCTACATGTAAATAGCGAACCACTCATCGAAAATTATGAAACAACATGTACATATTATATTCTTATGTTTTGTTGGAGAGGACGCTCGTTTTATTCAAATCATTTTCGATAATGTTCATCTGCTTCACTAGAAATTATTATTAGTAGTTAGTAGTATAGTAGTATAGTAGTAGCAGCTTTGTTATTCAAAATGGAACACCTTATATTTTATTACATTTTTCGATTCTTCTAATTGAGCTATGATTTCGTTGATCAAGCTCAAGGTATACCTATACGTAGAATGTGAAAAATCGAGATTTTTTTTTGTATCGAAACTATACAATACCTATATTGATTTGTCAAAATGGCTTACATGTGTCCCTATCCTAACATTCTATTAACTATCTACTGATGCCATTTAATTGAAACAAATACAGGGTGGATCAGATTTCAGAATTATATAAAAGAAGTACTAGTATGCCTACTATAAAAAATTATATATATTTGAAATAAACAAAACAAGTATATCACATAAAAAAACACACTCTAATATTCAACATAAAATAAAATTCAATCCCACTGGATGTATTTAAAAATATAAACAGTGTGCATGTCACTTCTAATGAAATCAACCCGTATATCCAACGTTTACTGTTCAATATTCAGGAGCGATAGATATATATATCAACTATGACCAAAGTGAGGCAATCTTCAGTGAAATACACTGCTCGGGTCATGGACCCGCACCAACATTTCCGGAAAATGATATTAGGAGACAAGATAGATTGAAAATCACTTCGGATTCGAAATCAGGACATCCAATTCACTGACGATTTCATATTTTGTTCCTGAGAAATGTTCAGTTCTGAAAAATCAAATGTTTCAATTTACATGAAAGCACCAAGCACCCCCGTATCTTACGTAAGTATTCTATTCACAGCAGCAAGAAAGATACAATCAATGAGCAGTGTATATAGGTATCACTGAAGATGTCCCCACTTGGTCAAAGAGTTTATTTTTGGTAGGTACCTATATCTATATTCAATACCTATATATGGCTCTTGTAAATTTCAGAATCCTGATAACTCAACAATTACGTAAAATACAGGAGTGTTTCCATTAGATTGACAAATTTGACTCCAAAATAATTCTGACTCTGGCACGCGCCAATATTCATAACGAGAGAAGCTGCCTGTTTACGTCTCCCCACCGCTTAGGTAACGATCGAGCGTGTTCGATGAACACACGGGTATGATCTCGAGACTCTAGTGGAAATATAGATCAGAGGATAACCCACCTGCATATGACAGAATTCCCATTATAAAAGTCTAACCGTTTTCGAGTTTCTTTGTTGTTGAAAATATCCACTACCAACGTTTTCATTAAAAATATTTCTCACAGCCCCCCTTTTAAATGTTTGGAGAAAGTTATTGATGTATAAGTTATAATCATTCTTCAGCAATATTTACTGACAAAATGAACCAAAAAGGTGTGAAATTGTACCAACCGTACAGACAAAACTATGGAAAGGAAAAAAATTTAATATGTCAAAAAAACAAAATCTCGAAAACAGTGAGACTTTCATAGTAGGAATTTCGTCATAGCAGGTGGGTCATCCTATGATCTACATTCTTCCCAACTTTGTCGTGATCTTTACGGGACACCCTGTATAGTCCAAGAACCAACTGCAAAGTTGACCGTCATTCTGATAACGAAATGATTGATATCGCATATGTATGTAGAATGGCTGGCAAGGTGGATGCAAGAAAGACATCAGGCATACTGGAACAATGTACCAGGACAAAGACACAGTAAACTGATGGTTGGAACACTGTCCAAAACAGTGACTAACGGCATTCTGAGCCTAAACAGAAGTCAGATCAAACAAGTGACGGGACTAATAACCGGTCACTGCCCCTTGAGGAAACATATGCATCAAATGGGCATCTATACAGACGAACCCATATGCAGACTATGCAATGAGGGGGAGGAAACTGCCACCCATGTGATATTGGAGTTCGAAGCACTAGCGCGTTGGAGATACAACCTTCTAGAAGCAGTAAACTCTCAAGAGGCATTTTCAAAGAATGATTTGGTGAAGAGGCTGCTAAACCTCATCAAGGTAGCGAACCTGTTCACCTAAGTCAACAGCATGATCAGGAATACAATAGGCCCAAAGGCTGCAGTGTTTTGGGCTTCAAACCCTGACTGATCATTCTGCTACTAATCAATCAATCAATGTAGAACCAATGTAGTTTTTTTTCAATTGACTCGGCCGTTACTTGATTCATCGCAAATGTGAAAACTTCACAAACGAATAGATTTAGACAAAATCTCAAACACACAACATGTTTCACTACCACAGTAGCTTCGTCAGGTGATATACTGGTACAATGAGCTAAACCAACCACCAGTGTTGATTTCCTATATAGTAGAGGTATTAATATGTATTTGCTATCAACCCTATCAAGTTAATCCGGTAGACCGTATTTTGATGTAGACAATTCGAATCTAACCAGACAAACCAGGTCAACTTTATGATGACCTCACGGTAGCCTCATGACGTCACGGTTTACTTGTGAAGCGTGACAGATGTTAGTTTAGAAGCTGTTTCTGTTTATTTTTTGGTTCTAGTAGTAATACTGATATATTGAGTGAGAAATTCATTATCTGTGAAACAAATATAACAAAGATAGTAACTAGGTACTTACCTACTACAGATTCAAGAAAATTTGAACAATTCGCTGCGTACACATATTTACAATGAATCAAATATTTGATGAGATATTTCATTGAAAAATACTTCGTTTAAATCCATAATTATGCCTTTTTGAATATAATTATTTTTTTCTCAACAAGAACCCAATCCAGTGGCCAATCAAAAGCCTTAACTACTCCGTGAACTACCTCAGTGAGCTGGTTTGTATGGTTGGTTAACTATTGCGTCATAGTTTGGAATACAATTCTAGGAAAATTGATTGGTTAACTTATTGTTTACCCGGTTTGTGCGGTTAACTTTGAGGAAAAATAGCCAAATTTCCGAGAATAAAGTTATATATCGAACCTTACCACAGGTCACTAATCCTTCAAGTTGGGAAAGTAGGAGGATCACCTGACAAAGCTATTGTGTTAGCGGAACTTGTTGTGTTAAGAATTTTGTGGAAAATCTTATCGTTTGTGGAGTTTTTACCATTGTAGTTCATCGAACGGCATCTGTGCTAATCACTATCCTGAGCAATATAATCGAAAAATTGCACTTTTCTGTGCGGAAATTTGCACTTGATTTCGCGATTTGATAACGAGAAGGGAATGCTGCCATCTGATACCAATTGAATGGTAGATTTCAAAAACCTACCTGTGCCACTGATATGATATAACGAGTTGAAACCAGAAGCTAATGGAAGGGAATGATGTGCCTTTGCGAATATCCAAACATCCAATACTTCCGAGAATATTTCGCCATCCTCTAGAGATAATATCCAATGAACCACTGTCAAACTCAACATGTGGATTAAAATACTTGTAGTGTGGGCACCACTTGAGTTCCACATTGGTCCATCGGATATTATCTTTCGACGAAGGTGAAATATTCACGTCGTCAACTTCGAGATATAATGTCGTACAACTCTCAACCAGAACTCATATTTCTATTGAACGGCAATGCTCTGGAATTCGTCGCTTAAAAACGTATTTTCGAGACATTGAATCTCCCAAAACTTCGAGAAGAATTCCGATTTCTACTTTTTATGCTTCCAATTACCCCTTCGTGATATCGCACGAGATCGAAATGAAAACCGAATCGCAATTCACATAGAAATTATAGAAAAAGACACTGTCTCACGTACAGCAACTAGGGCAGGTAAACTTTTTGAGCTTATACATAACTATGTATTAGCCGTCATCAGCAGTAGAGAAAAGAAACCGAAAAGAAATATTATTCCTATGATTATTCGGTTGATGTTGAACTCATATTAGCACGAAACAAATTTTCTATAATCTGGCTACAGCTCACGTTGATTACTACTATTACTACTTCTGAAGATTATATAAAATCTAACAATTTTAAGGATCATGAGTTTCTTTCGAAATTCCATGGTACGATGTGATATGAGAAACTTGACGATATCTGAAAACTCATCTATTAGTAATTCCAATATACTTTTGACACTTTCTGAGTGAAATAACTAAAAGGTTCATCTATATGTGTTTTATTTCAGTGTAGTGATTCGGTCGAGAAGAAGTAGCCGTGGAAGTGCTTCAAAATACAGGGTTGTATCCAAAGAAATGAGTGTTGATGATCATATTTATTAGGCATGGAGTGTCGGGAAACTGCATTTATTTATTTCTGATTTTTCTCCATTGGTTTCATCATAACATCATCATGTATGATTCTGTGATTATTATAAAAATATCATAGATTCTTCGAACATTCAATTCAATGTTTACTATATACAATCATCAACTTACTTGGTGAGTATGATCCATCGATGGAGTCCAGAGCATATGTCAGAAGAACAAAATAAAGAAATATGCTTCGAGAATGCCAAAACATTCTCAGGCTCATGTTCAGATGAAATCCATCTTCATCACTTTCTGCTTGATTTCACGAATGGCGAAAACCATTTGTCAGGAAACTAGATTATTTACATGTTCTGTGGTGTCAGATCTGCAACAAAAACCATAAATTATAATCGAATCGATTTCCTAGTCGATCAATTTCCACGAGAGTTTCAGTTATCACAAGGGAGAATTTTTTCAATATTCGTGTTCAAGAAAGAATTTCAGGTTATTTATTGAAGCTAGAGTGGTATTCGGTGAGAAAATTCACATCAAAATTTGAAAACATTCTAGGATAACATTACGCTGAAGAAAATACAAACTACCGACTTTAGTTACCCAAAATATCAATTCGGCAGCTCGTTACCGTTCGAACTATCATTCTTGACAAAGTTTATTTCTCTAAAGTTGGAAGAAATATATTTTGTTACAAGGAAGTCGACAGTATGTGGTATTCAATGTAATTGATATCCTTACATTGTTAGGTTGAATGGAATAATGAGTTCAATTATATAATTTTTTCACAAATTCATTGAGTATACTAAAAATGGAGGAAATATATTTTCTCACAAGAAACTAGGGGTACTATTCAATTTCAATGAAATTCTGCATACTTTATGTGATTAGGTTGAATAAAATATGATTATACGACTTTAGTTAGATGGAATGATAAATAATAAATCGATATCTACTCTATACCAATCTTTCAGTTTTTCAGGAATTCATTCAGCTCAAGTTGGTTGAAATATTTTCTCTCACAGCAGCGTTCCCAACATATGTATATAGAATGAATTCGACGTGATCTGAAGTTGAATGTGAATGTCATTTCGTCTACTACACACGTCAAAATATTTCCAGTATAATAACATGCTACTTCTCCCAAGGAGAAGGAAAAAATTTCCAAAATTCATTGAGTTGTCATGGCTACCATACACAATACAGGCTTTCAATTGGTCAAACAAAAAAAAAGGCTAGCTTCATCAGTATTATGCCAGAAAACCGTTCTCAATCAAGATGAAGTATTTGTTGTAACCTCATGGAATTGTGTCATCTTCAAGAACATATTCATAAAAACTTCCACAATGTTGCTAGGAGTTTCGACAGAATTATAAAAAATGTTTATGAAATTCGTTTCTTCATCACCTTGGTTCTCGAAAACGGATGCCTGTATAGCACATAAATGGGGTTCTGATTTGATTCCAAGAGAAATGTTCCTCAGAAATCTCTGCTATAATTCCATCACTAGCATTACCAGTCAGACGAACTCAACAGGCCCGTCAGCACATGCTTTCGTCGTTAACCTCGAACGGCGAAGCTTTGGAATCCCTTGCCTATGGAAGTATTTCCAAGAACTTATAATCTTCAAGACTTCGATGAAAATTCACAATCTACCTCCTCTCCTCATCACACCTATGTCCGCACGATGTTTCATGAACATCATAGGAATTTCTTTGCGTGCGCTCCAAGAGATTGAAAAAACATCTGAATTCCTCAAGTCTCAATGAAATGGTATATATGACATATATATATGAAGGTATATACATCCTAAGTAATTTTTGTTATACGCGTGTAATATGAAATAGAAAAGACTCAGAAAATCATATTTCGTTTGTCGCCATCAATACCCTTTCATGTGCCCAAATCCAGAATATCAAATTTCCATCCTTTGTCGAAGCTCTTTCACAGTGGAAAAATATTCGGGAAATATATATTTTCCGGTAGGAGAGATATTATATTAACTTATAAATAATTCATGGGATAATGTTCCCTGGAAATGCGATGGGAAATTGATGTGTAACCTGTATTTCCCGATGATTCTACCAACATATTATATTCCGATCTGGAATTTGATTCGTTTCGTGCTCTCTATACAGCTATACAGGATGATCAAGTTTTATCGACAGAACTCGATAGAATATTATCATAAAAAAAATAATATTTAACACGGGCGTGTTACTATCTCAGCCATAATTGATTCACTTTGTGTCTGTCGAATCTTGTGATCAATGTTTCTGAAATGTTATACACCTAGTCAGATTTCTGAAAAACAAGATGTACCCAAATTCCAGGCCTGGACTAAAATCACTCATTCATGTGCCAACATCAATATGACACAGAAAAGTGTCAAACTGTAAGCAGCAAAACTATTGAAGAATTTTGCATTTATATGTTGAGAACAGGAGCTGATTCAGTCCTGAAACGTCCAAAGATATGTAAAAGTCCGATATTTTTTCAATATATCTATATTTCTTTCCTTCAAACATTTTTTCAACTAAATTATCACTGACAAGCTACTGGATTTTTCTTTCAGACTCCCTGATAAAAAAGCAAATCATCTGATTTGTCCCACTACAAATATATTGGAATAATACGAATATTTTCATTTCATTGAAACGAGGTGAGAAAATCCCAAAGAATCAAGTAAAATGAATAAATATACCACCTCCTCGATTAACCTACAGACAGTAAACAATAATATCCTTTTTGAATTCCACTGATATCATACGCTTCTTCATATTCTGAACGTACTTCTAATCAAATGCAGTTACACAATATACACCAATTATATCATGATAAGAGAAATGTCAAATGGACTTAGGAAATGAGTACAATTCCTCCCTTGATACATCAATATTCATTATTCTCATCAAAATTCAGGAAACAAAAGATACAACGGTTGAGAGAAGGTGATCAATTACATAGGCTTACATTTTCTCAATGGATTACAAGCCACAGAACGACGGTTCTTCGGACTTTATATACAGATTTTTTGCAATTACATTGCCTCGTTGGTCCCAGCACTGGGACCAAACGCCCCATAAGTCGAAACTTGTGCGGGGTTAGGTAAGTATACAAACAAAAACATCCATGGCCTACCTGGGATTCGAACCTATGTCTCGGTGGGAGTCCCCAAACGAACTCAGCGCATTCACGCTCTCGACCACCGAGCCAATGAAGCCCAATTCACACAAGACGGTATTTTCAATTCAAGAAATTCCTATGATGTATGGCCAAATGGAAATACGCATACGTTCAATTGATGTTTGGTGTGGTTTGAAAAACAATTTATAAATTAGATCTCATGTATTTCCTCCTGTCCCTATTTTCCCTAGGAACGCACGATGTTCTTTGAACATTATAGGGATTCCCTTTCGTGCGCTCCAAGCGATGAAAAAAAAAGTGTTGTTTATTTGAATTTCTCCCAAAATAGTTCACCTGGTTTGCTAGAGAACATTTATTCAAAAGAAATACATTTCCAACATGATGTGCTCCGCCTCATTCTGGTGTTGAGGTTAGGAAACACCTATATAGATTAGTAATTTCCAGAAGGTTGGAGGGCCAGGTTAGGGCCTTGGCAAGAATTCGAAATTATCAATTATTTTTCGTGTTGACATTTGGAACAGAAGGTTGGTAGTGATCCTATTGAAAACAGAGAGCAGTTGAAAATTGAACAAAATGTAGGAAGGCTGATGAAATGAATTCTGAAACTCTGTCGTGATATCAAGTAGAATAATGAATATTTATTGAACAAGGGAAAAAAGTAGTAGACTTTTGCTCCAGGCCGTGATCTGAAATCCAATATTTTATCCGTGTTTAATACACTATTTTTAGTTGTGACAGTAAAACAGAAGAATCAATATTGGGAAGATATTCAAAAAATTATCGACGTGAAATTTGAAATCTTTATAATTCTCTTGGAGTAATACGATATCTGTCAGTCTGATTATGAGATTCGATTTCAAGAATCTGTGAATTCAGTTATTTTCTAGTGATTCACGTAACCGGGAAGTCGAATGGAAGATAATAGGACTTGTAGTTCTTTTTCGGAGATGGTGTTATTGGCTTATTTTTTCGAACTATATATAGCACAACGAATGCCATCAATAGTGTATATCCATGTGAAAGATATTCTGGAAAGAAGTACTCACTTTTTTTCCGTGGGAAAAAGTAATTCATGAAAAGCGACAATTTACAACCATTCAAAAGAAATGAAATTTCAAACTCCTTTCTGTCACAGAAAAAGATAAATTTCGTTTCTGATTATATAGGTACACTGATACTCGAATGAGATGTTCAAGTTCATATCAAATTCGGATTTGAAAACCTAACCTCAAATAAGTTATGTTCAAAACTACTTGGTACGAACCCTGTAACTAGCGCCCTCTCTATGAGTGTAATATATCCATATGACATTTTATTAGGATGCTGCCAGTTGTTTCGACGTAATCGTGAAAAATCTGTGAAAATATATTTTCTTCAACACCTTGTATCTTGAGAACGAATGTAGTTACGACATTTCTTCTCTTAGCAAACCCAACTTATTTCACAGTGTTTTATACCTACCATATCAAGGGGGTCACTTTGTTTATATTATGCAACATCTTTTTTGAATTCTATCCAGTGGGTAATATTTCAAGAACTCTCTTGGAGAAATACATCGTGTAATAATTTTCTGACACCAGCAAACATTTTTGAGAAATTATTGACCCAAAGATAGAATTCTGGAATTATAGCACAGTAATATGCATTTTCCTGTGAAATCTCATCAGAGGTGAATTTTTCAAACACTCTCTATAGAAATCACATCGTGTGACATGATTCTTGCACCAGCACTTTGGAAATCTTGGTTATATAACACAGTCACTATACTAGGCATCATCCTGTAGAATAATTTTCGGCGGTGAATATTTCAGGAAAAATCGCGAAGAAATAATTCGTGTAACATGATTTCAACACCGGGAAAAATTCTGAGAGGATTGTATTCCAACGGAAGCACAATATTAGGCATCTTTTCATATAATCTCATTCAGAGGCAAATGGGCACCAGCAAACATTTTCAGAAATCCCCAATGAATGCTCTTTGATAATTTCCTTCGTATTATTCTGAAAAATCTTATTCATAGTAGCTGCAACAAATCACGTAAAGTTTTTCGATTTTACGTTTCGGTTGTTGACTAGTTCAGATCACATTCACTTTTTCTACTTACCCCCTGAATTCAAAGTAGA